GAACGAATAGATTAGCCTATCCAGAAGCTAGAATAAGTTCACATAATTTTCACAAACTTTGATCCATTTTCAAATAGAATATAAATTTCTTACTGAATAATCACTTTACAAAATCTTCCTTCATGAAAGTTGAGTTTCTATCCATATAACCTATTAAAATCGCACAGTACATAATTGACTTTTAACCAATGTAACCATCAAGTAAGTTATATTGTTGTTAGACCCAAAGTACTATATGGATATGGTAAATAGTTGATAATGTAGTGAGTTTTTTATCGATTGGTTTGAATGGGATACAGCCACTGTCTAGCTCGATGAGAATTCTTTGCTAGTGTAAGAGTACTTTGAGAGAAAGCTAAGATATATTTACAAAAATATCGAATCTGTTCACAAAGGTTTGGATTGTTTGACTGGGCCATGTCAATAAACTATCTCGTTAGAGTCATGACTATTACCGTTACCAATAGTTGTAGACGTTGGGTGGTATGACTCGGAATCAGTCATAATGGCAAATATGCATTTGTTCTTTTCCTTCTCAACAGTCCTGAGTTTTTAAGTTATCTTACAATTAATTCCACAAGTTCATTCTTTCTTCAATCACGTTCTTCATGGATAGTACTTTCTACTATCACTGGTATTGTTACTACTTCTATTAATACGTGATTTCTCTTGATTATTTCATTTTACTGTGTTAATGTAACGTGACGACTTGAAAAGAATCATACATATACCAGGTTGTTTTCGTATTCAAATAAATGCCAATCACTTTCAAGCGTAATACCATGTTATAAATAAACTACGGAATTTACCAAATAATACCAGATCTTGTTCACCAAGCAAATAAGAATTTGGATGTATCGGTTATTTGAATCTTATAATTGGTGTTCAGAACTTCAATCGATCTATCTGTTTTGGCATTTGTCCATCCTATCCAGAGTGCCCTGATATAGTCACCATTCACCATTCATTTGTGAATTAATGGCATTAACGAGGCAATTTATATAGAATACACATAAGCCATTATATATATATCAAAATCCACCCTGTTGTATAAGTCAGTGAACATCTGCGCTCAGTAGCTATGAATAGGACGAAACGTGAGTTTTAAATTCCACTGCTGAACTCCATCTATCTATGCTTTAAAATGCAAGTAAACAACAGTCGAGTAACGTTTTGATGAGACTATAATCGATACGTGGTTGTTTTCTGTTTTTCGGTCCATAAGGTTGCTAATGAAAATACTGTTTTTCAATATCACATCTAAAAGGTTATAAAAAGAAAAAATTACAAGACCTTAATATGTCATCATTTGGAAATTGTAATATGTGAATCAGGAATTGTTGTTTGTCATACCAAATCAAATCGTTAATGTTGGGGTTGACTAATATGAAGTGTTAACTTGAATCAGTTTATAAGTGAAATGAAATTGTGAGATAAATTATGATCAGAATAAATATGGTCAACATGGGGTAAGAGAGAGAGAGCGAGAGAATATTGTGATTACAAATCGGAAATTGCGTAATATGTAAAATAATCAGGTCAAATATAGTAGGTTCAGGGGTGGATATTAAATAAATTCCTCAAAAAGGGTTTATCAAGTGTAAAGACAATAATAGTAATAATAATAATAATAATAATAATAATAATAAGTTTGGGACATAAAATGAACATTAATCAGATTATGTCACCACATTATAAGATTGATTATTAGCTAGTTGGCCAGGGTAAAAGGAGAGGCTGAACATACTTCTTTTGGATACAAAGCTCTGGCTTTTTGATCCGAATAGCAATTGCTTCAGCCGTCTGTAGGATTCGCAGTCTGACGGAATTAGGTAGACTGCTGTTGACACGATAAACTATTGCAAAAGATTGCTCCATGTTGGCTGTATGTCCTGTTTGGACTAAATGGTCTAAGATGGAGCTGTTAACAGTTTTGACAACACCTTTGCTTAACCACACGGGTAGGTGCTCACGAGCCCGAATGTACAAATTCCTAGAACATCTGCCAATATAACTTGCTCCACAGGAGCAGTTGAATTGATAGATACAGAAGGAGGTGGCTAGTCTAGGTAATTTATCTTTCAACCTCGGAGTGATTATTGGTCGTGTGGAGAATACTAGTTGTAGTTTAGCTGCGTTGAAAGTCCTTTGAATTGATCTACTTAACTTAAGTCTTAACATTTCACTCGGCGCGTCTCCTCTGAATTGTAAGCGTATATATAGAGGCTTTCTATTTACTGTTGGACATTCTCTACGCTGTCTTTTATTGGCTAAGTTTTTATTTATAAATTTCTCTGGATATCCATTTTCTTTCAGGGTTGTAAACAATGTATCCATAGTGCATATAGTCTTGATTCTATGATGTAGTGTCTTGATAAGGTTCCTTTTTTGTTGTAGAGGAACGAAACTGAAAAAGTTAGTATATTGACCCGTCCAGGTCATTTTCCTGTTTATGTTTCTTTTTAGCGATCCATCTTTTCTCCTTGTAAGCAGAACATCTAGGAAGGCTATTTTACCCCCATTTTCTTTCTCACATGTGAATTTTATGGACGGGTGAGCTGTATTGAATTGCTCGAGTGTTCTTATCAAGTCCGTACGCTCGTTACAAAGGATAAATGTATCATCCATATATCGACAGTACAATGGAAACTTATCGATCTCTTGTGCCAGTGGGCCGTTTTCTAGTTTAGAAAGGAAAATGTCTGCCAATATGGGACCCAGGGGTGAACCCATCGCGACGCCATCTATTTGTCTGTAGATTTCCCCATTGAATTTGAAATGTACATTCATAGTGCATTTTAGTAATAATTCTTTGATGATCTCTACAGGGATTGTCGTTTCTAGTTCCTGTTCTCTAAGTTGTTCACAAATATATTCTACAGTTTCTCTGAGTGAGACATTTGTGAACAGTGATGCTACGTCAAAAGAAGTCATCGTCTGATTTTAAGTTAAATACCCTATAGTCCCTAACTATAGTTACACTATTCACGTAGACATTAACTATGTTAGTCCTGTTAAGTGTAAGTTTTTTCGTCTCCTAGTCACACCATTCAAATAACAATTCTTATGGAACTGTCCAATCAATAATTTTGTAATTAATTATATATAAATTCAGCTCCATCTTAGACCATTTAGTCCAAACAGGACATACAGCCAACATGGAGCAATCTTTTGCAATAGTTTATCGTGTCAACAGCAGTCTACCTAATTCCGTCAGACTGCGAATCTTACAGACGGCTGAAGCAATTGCTATTCGGATCAAAAAGCCAGAGCTTTGTATGTAAAAGAAGTACGTTCAGCCACTCCTTTTACCCTGGCCAACTCTGGGGCCAACTAGCTAATAATCAATCTTATAATGTGGTGACATAATCTGATTAATGTTCATTTTATGTCCCAAACTTATTATTATTATTATTATTATTATTATTACTATTATTGTCTTTACACTTGTTAACCCCCTTTTTGAGGAATTTATTCAATATCCACCCCTGAATCTACTATATTTGACCTAATTATTTTACATATTACGCAATTTCCGATTTGTAATCACAATATTCTCTCGCTCTCTCTCTCTTACCCCATGTTGACCATATTTATTCTGATCATTATTTATCTCACAATTTCATTTCACTTATAAACTGATTCAAGTTAACACTTCATATTAGTCAGCCCCAACATTAACGATTTTATTTTTATATAACAAACAATTCCTGATTCACATATTACCATTTCCAAATGATGATGTATTTTGCCTTAAATCTGGCCAATTTTATGGATTATTAATCTGGATTTATAATTGTAGAACCTGATGAGAAATTATTGAAAAGAATATTCTTCGTTCATATGATTGTGACCCTAATATGTATAAAACGTCCAGGAAAATATATTACGTAACTAGTATTGGTGATTCATCAGTAAACGTTTATCAGAAAAACCTATTAGTATCAATTGTGACATTTGATCTTATATGAGTAGTAAAACAACTCTGTCTGGAGCCACTCTGGGGCTACTGATGGTCCCAACCCCGGATAAAGGAGGAGGGTTGGGCATGAGGTTAGCGACCTAATCCTGTAGAAAATTAACTCGCTAAAAAACTCTAATCAGAAAAAATAACTCAAAACATTTAAGCTCTGACATGGGAGTTAGAAGGTCTTTATTTAAGAGAGTTATGACTCATCATGGTGAAAGCTGAGTTGAGGAAAGTTCCCAACTGCATCACAATGCAAGCCCTCACATAGAATCCTCAAGGTCAAAGGAGGAGAGGAAGACCAAAGAGCACATTACTCCGAGAAGTGGAGACAGACATGAGGAGAATAAACAAGAATTGGATAGGACGAGAGAAGAAGGCCCAGGACAGAGTGGGTTGGAGAATGTTGGTCGTCGGCCTATGCTCCGTTGTGGGTAACAGGCCTAAGTAAAGTAAGGATAGCAAGACAACTTTTTAAAAACATCGCTAGAATTCTTTAGAGAAATGTTATAATTACAGTTGATGTCAGTTATTTTAAGACAAGACATTTGACTAAAATAGTGCTACTTTTAAAAATAGCATTCTAAACAACCAAGTCAGATCATTCAATGAAATTACACCAGTTCCATTCGCATTTGTTATTTAGATCTTTACATCGATGTTTAGAACTGTGAGTGGTCAGTCCGTTTCAGCATATGTGCTTCCTGCTCAAATAACCTTGAAATTAACTTTAAGTCACAAACACCTTAATTAGTGTTAGAGGATGGCTAGCAATCGGATTCATGATGTACGTTCCGTTCTATTTGAGACTCATCAATTGAGTGTAACTCCATTCACTTCACAATATCACTAGTAATTACTTCTAAAACGATGCGACAATGCTAAAATAATTCACTTAAGTTCAAAAACATCTGATCAGCTTTATTGTTTATCCAACTTATATAATCAGTTGGGCGAGACTCTAATTTATGGACGAACCCTGAACGAATCTTAAATGACCTTGACAAGTATAAGCCAATCAGAAGACAGTTAGTATAAAGTAAACATATATTATAAGAGACTAATGAATTACAGTGGATACTCTTCTTTTGTGTGATTTAAAAACTTGTTAAGATTTGATAAAGGTTCAGATGTTCTGAAATCATAATGTATACGATATAGGATCTCGTCTATATGATTCCATAATAGTCGTCCTCTGGAGCCGTGGTACGGTTTTAAAAATCCCTTCAATGTCGACCACATGGCTTCAATGTTGTTAGTATGAACGCCGGTAGTGGGGCCAACAAAATAAAGTTTATTCGCCACGACATGATTGACATACCCGAGTCTATGAAGGCATCTATACGCTCTCCAATCATGTGTATATACCGTAGTGCCCGGCTGCACGTATTCCTTTATAATTGGTATTATTGTACTCGCTTGACGGTTTATCACCCTCCGGAAATGCCCCTTTTGTGTTGAGCGATCATAAATTCGAGGTACCTGTCAAGTACATTTACGAAAGTGCTACTTACCCAATCTTCCTTGATACTACGTCCCCTGTTATATTTTCACTTTCGCACTATTGTCTCACCTGTCTACATAATACTCCCGACTAATCCGAATGATTCGTGTAGACGTGTCACGCATACCACTGGACGGCTGAAGTTTCAAGAACGCCTGCAAACGCCGCAGCCAGTGTCACTGGTGCCCTTATAATCCAATTTGCAACTATTATCGTGATTTGCCTCAGTCTCAGTCGCGATCGAAAGAAGAAAGTCCCCGTTCTAGCAGACTTTTTTCTCCAACATAAAGAATAACGAAATACTATCTAATCACGATAGTCTACACACTGTACTGAAGTCATTTGATAACCGCAGCAGTAGTAGTAGTAGTCTTATCTTTTGTAGCCGCTCAGTAATCACCTCTTCTCTAAAATCCGCTGTAAACCGATCTTATATGAGCATCAGGTGTTGAATATGGCTGCGTGACCTTGAAATCCCTCAAACTCTTATGATTGGCTTGTTCATAAATAAGAGTCTCGCCTTCTTCTCTATAAGCGACTACACTCTGACTAGAATAAACCTTTGTTTAAATTACAATAAAGGAAATACCAAAAAATCTATAAAAACAAGGTAATAATACTTTCAATCTTTATAAACAATTAAATTTTGATTGGTTAATTAATATGGACCAATCAAAATTAAGAAAAATTAGGCTTTTTCAATTTTTAACTTTAGAAAATCATGCTTATTAGTTAAAAAATTACCGATTTATTCAAATTATGCTTGCCACTTCTATAATGATTGAAAATATTCCATTAATGCCAAAGACACCACAAATTGTTATAGAGATTCCAGAAAATACATCAGAAGAATTAAACTATAATGATTTATTTATAAAATCAAATCATCATCATCATCATTGGACATCTGGTAGATCAAGTCCAGGATCATGTTTTCAAAATTTATTAGCACCTTATTATTGGTCAACAAATCAACAACAATATCATTTATCAATAAGTGAAAATTCATCAAGTTATGGAAATCTTAAAGAGGATTATCATATAGATAAACAAAATGTATTGAATCCACAATTATATATGAGTAGAACACCACCGCCAACATTATCATTATATTATTCAAATCAAACTAGAAATTCATATTGTTGTATTGCAAATCAGAATACAACAAAATCTTATACATCATCTGAACATGACAAAAATAGTGATTATCAACATTCTAGTTCAACTTCATTAACTTCGAATTATAATATGAATAAATCATTATACTTAGATAATTATACAGAGAATTATATTTGTCAACCACAACAACAACAACACCGCCACCACCAATATCACCACCACCACCAACAACAACAACAGTACCTTCAATCAGAAAGATTTCCACATGTACATAGATCCTATACAACGAAATCTATGAAAACGAATTTAAATAAACCATCCAATCGTTCATTAAGTCCATATTCTTTTTATAATTATTATCCACAAACTATTAATTTATCTAAACAATGTATACCATGTATATCAACTAATAGTCAATATAGTGATTTAGATTTATTGAATTATCATTATAATATAAATCATTCTGATAATATTTTCTTATCTAAAACTATGTTAAGTAAAATGAATAAACAAAAATTAATACGTAGAGCATCTACACCATTATCCTATCAAAGTTTAATGACATCATCACAGATATTATGTAATTCTTCAATGACTACAAATACCTCATATAATACCAATAATAATAATAGTAATAGTAGTAATAATCGATCGAATTTGATTAATCATTATCAATATAATCGATCAATAATTCAACATCCATCATCATCTATCATACAACGTTCTAATTCTTTACCAGAATTATCAACAGTTCTAAAGTATAATGAATATAAAATGAATCCATCTATAAAATCTTATTCAAAAATAATAAAAAATGAACAAAATCAAGATAATTTGTATCATAAATATAAATCGAATAGAATACCATCGATACAATCTAATCATCATTTATTATATCCAATTGAGTTACCATGTCAACAAAAATTGTATTTATCTACCATGAGAAATCATCGTCGACATACAGAAGATTGTAGTCATCAAATAAAAAATAAATCATCATCATTATTATTAGTACAATTAAATCGTCGATCAAATTCTGTATGTTCACAAAATCATTGTCATTCTAATATGAATAATCATAATCATAATACTACTCATACTACTCATGGAAATATTGTTAGTAGTATGCGTAGTGTCAATTTTATTAGTAATATTCATAATAATAATAATAATAATAATAATAATAATAATAATAATTTAGATCATTCTAATCAAATGATAAATGATTATAACCATTATATACAACCATCCATATCACTAACGGATAATACAAATTTAGATAATACTAATAATTCATTAGATATAAGTAGTAAATCAATATATAAACAAAATAATGAAATCACCAATGATAATCATCATATACTTAATTCTAATGATTTAGAATTGAATAAAATGGATTCTAATCAAAATATCATTGAATTACATGTGAAAAAAGGTGATTCATTTACCCATTGTCTATGTTCATTAATTGTTCTATTAGTATGTATGCAATTAGTTGTTGGGATTGTATCTACAGGACTTGGATTATTTTTAACATGGAAAGTACCAGAATTAGATCCTATGGAATGTGCTTATTTATCTGGTATACCAGTAAGTTCTATTTTAATTTGTTTAGTTTTGTTTCTATTTTTTTATATTGTAGTCAAATTCATGAGTTGATCTAAGCTAAGAGGTTAATTGTTCGTGTATGAAACTAAATGTTCTATGTTTGAGCACTGTAATGTAACGTATGCCCAACGACTGACTGCCTCGACGTACGATGTTCAGTGGTATAGGAGTAGGTTGGAAGAAAGCTAGGTGTGGCCAGACCAAAAAAGTGGAATGAGTCATGTTGGTACGTGTAGACTACCTGGTTGAGGACCACGAGATGATAGTAACCGATGGTTAGAGACCCTGAATGACATGGCTCAAAATCATTTACAATCATGCAGGTGCATCCACTCTCTGTGTTCTCCCACATTCTATTCTCCTGATTCCTCCTTGTCGCTTTTTTTCTCTTTCCAAATTTATTTCACTGGATTATACTCTTTAAATAACATCTCCAAACCTTAATCTTCCCGATTACTGCTTATACTCTTACTGCCTCTACTACTACGGGATTTGAATCGACAACTGCATCTCTGTGCTAATTTGGTATGCCAACTGGAACTGATGTATGTACGTACAAAGTTCTACGTTGTTACTGACCGACTGACTGAATGTAGAAATGAAGATGTTCGTTGCTAAGGTGTTTCATACTATAACGAGACGGTCTTTCAGGTTTTTAATGGTGGTGTAGATTTGATCAACTCATGAATTCAACTATTCAAAACCGTAATGTTATGATTCCTCAAGCAAAATTAAAAATTCTGTTTAATTTAAATGGATAGTAACATCAACTAAGTTGTTGTCCTGAGCATAATCATAATTAATGACAGTCGTATAATTGTTCATTTAAGTAATAAATTTAAATTTCATTCATAATGCTTAAAATTGTAGAATAATGAAAACTGTAAGCATTTGTCGTTGAAATGTCTTTAAAGCCTAATATTTCGATATAAGCAAATTTGGATAGTGGCTAGTATTGGAATTCAAGAGGCGCGTCTCGTCCTATTTGGGACTTGCCAGCTGGATGTATCTGTATCGCAGAGTTGATCTTCACTTCGGGATTCGAACCCAGTACCGTTCTCTTTAAACGCCATCACGTTATCCACTTAGCTACTGAGTCCTAATAGCCACTTGCTTGTACAATGAAGTTTTAAATTCACTTGGTGTTGTTTACTTGAATCTTCCTATTGATGTCTCTTATTAGCATATATACGGTACTGGGTTCAAGTCTCAGAGTGAACATCAACTCTGAGATGCAGGTACACCCAGCTTACGAGTTCCAAATAAGACGAAACGCGCGTCCTGGATTCCGCTGCTAACCACTACTCATCTTTGGTTATGATGCTTGTGACTTAAAGCAATATCGAGGCAGTCCGTACAGGATGCACATATGTCAAGAAGAGACTGATCAATTGCAGTCCTAAATAACAATCGTAAGATACAAGTAAACAACACCAAGTGAATTCAATACATCGAATTTAATAGATTGATGCCAATAATAACAATAGCAATAATAATAATGGTCTCTGTTTAATACCATAAACTTGACCATAGATCAGAAATTTCAACATATAACCCGGGAAATTTCCATTTTATAATTATTTAGCTTGTGATCCTTAAATATATATAAACTTTGCAAGCCTTGATTAGTTGCCCCATATATTCATCCATTGACATTTGTGTCCTTTTCTCATTGACAGTTCCTTTCGTTTGTATGTATAAAATCTATTAATAACCATTTTTGGTTTATCTAAGTAAACCTTGATGGAAGAGGTAAATATATAAACTATTGTGGTGATTTTGTTTGGTTCTCTTGGCAGATGATAGATTCATGACGAGTTATAAATATTTTTTGAAAGCATGATAGTATTTATGGTTGATAGACATAATTTTTCATAGTAGACAGAATCATTTAATTCTCTAATGTTTTACAACTTAATGTTTACAATATGTGAAAATACATTTTACTTCAATGAGTTTTTTTAAGAGTAATTTAACAACCACAATATACTACTTTAACCGTATTCAACAGTTTAATCATCTTAACACTGTCTATTGTTCATTTTTCTGTCTACAGTGACTGTGATCAAAACAGAATCATCAGTATATGGTTGTGGAGATTATTAGGTTCTAGATTGAGTTCATGAATCAATTGATGTGAGACCACCATTATAACCCGGAGGTACTGGATGGCCGTTTCGTCCTATGGTGGGACTGTCCAGCAATGCGCATCCACGATCCCACCCGCGGGACTCGAAGCCGTGATTAGTGGAGTTAATTCGTGTCGGGTAGAGACAGTTATCTATCTCAGTACAATGGAAGATGGTCGCTCAAACTCGCAGATTGATTGATATTAGACATTACTGTTGTTGGATGCTGACTCAGTGGTCTAGAGTTTCAACAGTCGCGCGTGAGACTGAAGGCCTAGGGTATGAATCCCGTAAGCGAGATCGTGGATGCACACTGATACGTAGTCCCACAATGGAACGAAACGGCCGTCCAGTGCTTCCAAGTTTCCAAAGGTGGTCTAAAATCAATCGATTCATGATCTCAAAACAGAATCCACCTTAACTAACAATCATTTAAAGACATTGTCACATCAATCTCAACTGATAATACTTCATATCAATAATAAAGAGATTCCTGTAGAAAAAACTATCCTCTAGGTCTATTCCTTGCAAACAAAAATAATACTGAGGAGTACTTTTAATCCAGATAAAATTATATTGGTAGATTCCATTTCTTATAAGGTTTAAATACTTTTGTGGTCAATAAATCCAATATACATTTAGATGTCACGTTTAAAAGAAGGACAAATAACTCACCATGATTTTATATGGATTAACTAAAATACAATAAGATGGTTGCCAAGTTTGTATGATTCGAGAAATTAGTTATTTATGCCGTTTTGTCCTAATATGGGATTCCTAAGTGTAGTGAATATATGATTCCATGTGTGGGAGCCTTACACTAAAATGAAACGGATTTTTGGTACTTTAAGGTTTTTAGTGATGATCTAATATTCATTAGTTTATGGTTTTGATTAATGTTTCAGTATGAAGAGTTGATGATCGATGGTGGCATTTAATCGATTTATTAAGCAAGAAAACTTTTGAATATTTTATTGTGCCAAGAGACACTTGATAGGTATGTTTTAACAAAATGAAGAAACTAACAGCCTAGTTTTGAAAATGATAATTATCAGGGTTTTTTGACTATTCCTAACTCCTTAATCATTAGGTTTTATTCATACCTGAACATATCCAAAACTGAATAGATACATAGCCTTCAATCGTCTATTTGCATCTGTCGATGTGTTCTGTCATCTGAACACTTCTCATCTCGACTCTAATTGTTCTGCTAACTCCGTGATTTCAATGTACTCCGTCTGACAATCGTTACAACTTCAACGCCATGTTCCGCTACACACTACTTAAAAACCTCCTTATGAGTAGCATCCACCACATTAAAACTTTGTAATGTAATGCTGAGTAACATTTTTATGATCAATTAGGTATCAGTTATGAAAGGCAAAATATAACATTACAATGAAGGAATGAAACGAAGCCTAGTATTATGGAATACAACTCAATCATCATAAATTAACCGTTTAGTAAATACCTATAAGAAGCCAGAATGTCCGACACAACACACCATGCATCAATCAAATCACACTTGACAGAGAAGCATTGAAAGATGTAAAAATCTTTACATATCTGAGCAGCATCATCTGATGCGGATGCGAAGACGCGGATCGCCAAAGTAAGAGCAGCATATGTACAATTGAAGAACATCTGGAACTCAAAACAACTGCCTTCAAGTCAGTATTTCTAATATAAAGTCAAGATGGTTCTACTGTATGGGGTGGAAACTTGGAGAACTACGAAAGCCATCATCCAGAAAATACAAGCTTTTATCAACAGTTATCTAGGCAGAACACTTCGGATCTGTTGGCCAAACACTATCAGTAACAATCTACTGTGGGAAAGAACAAACCAGATTCCAGCTGTGGAAGAAATAAGGAAGAAAAGCTGGAGGTATATAGGACACACATTGATGAAAGCACACAAGTGCGTCAAAAGACTAGCCCTCACATAGAATCCTCAAGGTCAAAAAAGAAGAGGAATACCAACGAACACATTATACCGAGAAATGGAGACAGACATGAGAAGAATGAATAAGAATTGGATAGAACTGGAAAGAAAGGCCCATGACAGAGTGAGTTGAAGAATGCTGATCTGTGGCCTTTGCTCCATCGTAGGTAACAGGAGTAAGTAATTAAGTATAAGAAACAAATATAAAATTATTATAGTCAAACAGTTTACTCAACTTTACAATATACTTTTTCACTAGTCTTTCTGACAGAATATATTTATAAAGATCAATTATGCAACAACTATCATTTAATATCCCTTTATCAGTTATGATATCATTATTACAATAATACTATTTATTAAGACTTACTGGTTAGCGTTTTTAGCGAGTTAGTGTTCTACGTGATGGGGTCGCTAACCCCATGCCCAACCCTCCTCCTTTACCTGGGCTTGGGACCGGCAGTAAATCTGGAAGAGCTACAGGTGGAGTTATGTATAAAGCATAGAATGTAATTATAATGAAAACAAAAATCTCAAAAATAATCTATACAAGAAGAACCCAAATAAGAGGAAGTCTTACGTAATGTGGTCTAATTTCTTTTCTTTTCTTTTAAAATTTTTCTTTGTTCTTTTTATTTTCTATCTCGGAAACATTATCACATAAACAAGGACTTAGATGACATTTTACAAGAGCTTGTTACATAATTAGTTATACTTGTACTAAAATTAGTTGAATGTACATTCAAACAACAACAACAAAAAAAAAAGAGAACTGTCACTGTTGACAGTTTTCTATCTTCTTCTTAACACTAATCCAGTGTACCCAATATGTATGTGTGCATGAATGTATACGTGTTAGTGTGTGAAAAAAAATATGTATTTCCATTGGTAAATTAAATGTAACTATGT